GAACTCTTTTTAAAGTGAAATATTGAAAAATGTTTACTGAACAATAGTGAAAAATACTCCTCTATGTGCTTGCTTTGGGGGTTCCTTGTAGCTAAACCCTCTCTTCCCAACCCCAGGAATTTATGCACACACACACATGTGCATGAACAGATCCAGATAACTGAGCTTAGAACTATAAAAAGTAAATATAAAGATTGTTCTCTACTAAGATAAATCATTTTGGGCTATTAAAAGATTATCTGATGAAGTAGTCAGTGTTTGTCAACTTTTTTTTTTGAAAGAGAAAACAAAATCGTCGGTTGAAAATGATGATGCCATTATTTTTGCCAGAAACATATAACAGATTGTAACTGTTTATCATTTCCTTTACCTCTATTCTCCACCTTTCTGTGGTAAGGCAAGAAGGTTTAGTTACCAGGGTCTAATCTGGCTCAGAAGAAACGTCAAGTTCAGGGAAGCATATTAAGGCGGAGGGGTTAAATGTGGATGTATTGCACAGCAGCTCTCGGTAGTTTTACTTGATATTCAGGGTTAAGACAGAGAATAAGATAATTTATAGAGGAATTGTGACACTCAGCAATATTACATTTCTAAGCTTTGAAATGCCACAGCTCGTAACATTCAATATTTCAGGTTCTGGCAAAGCCAAAAATTAGTTCTTGTATGTGTAACTAGAAGAGGGATAATTTTCATTTCTAAGTAGCTAAAGCATCTCTTTATATATACTCTATATATTACCATATATGTTAGGTATAAGATATACAAAAAATTATTAAGGCTTATGTCTGAATGTTGTGCATTCTGAAAATTCAAGAACAATTTTGAAGGGAGAATTGGAAAAAAATCACATTTGATTTCAAGGACACAGATTAAATAGATAATAATAGGTAAAAGACAGGTTTAAGATTGTCAAGGATTAATGTCAAATGCATTTATCAAATGACTATGCATATAATGGGTCACAGCGTCCACATATACGTATTTGTTATAGACGTGTTTAGTTGCTTAAGTGTACCTATCAATTGCGAACACTGGAATACAATCTGTTCTTGTTTTACAGTGCTTTCCTATATGCATATGAAAATGAGATAACCTTATAAAGATAAGATTAAATCTGAGAAATTGAAGTAACAAATGGTTTAACTCTTTGAGAGACAGAAGATGAAAATATTTGTCTTTTAGAATCTGAAGAAAGGGTGGATGTACACTAGAACATTTGAAAATATTACCAGGAATGACAGTACAGAAGTTTGATATTTTTGTTTTTCTGTTTTCCCTTTCAGATATTCACATCCTTATTTTAATGAACTTGCTCATATAAATACAGCAGGATTGTTGTATTTTTTTAAATAACTCTTTACTGAATATGTCAACAAGATAATATATAGTGTATAGTGAGGTTTTGAAGTTAACAATGCGTGCAACATGGCAGATTGCAGAAAACAGATAATGCAGACTTCAAACCATCTATTTTTCCATGTTAAAGATAGAAAGTATACCAAACACAGAACAGAATTAAGTGTGCATGTCTCAATTAAAATCAATTTCATGAAAGATCATCTTCAGATATTTGGGACCAAGTAATGGTAACAATTTGTTTAGTAGCTTATCTGTTTCTGAAAGGATCAGAATTCAGCTCTCATGAGGCACATTTCCACAGAGCCCCAGTATAACAAAAGCTTGCCAAATCTCTTTTGTACTAGTCTTCCAGATGGACTACTAGCCAGTGTCCTTTTAAAGAGCAAGACATTCTATGCTGTACAAAAGTTTAATGCCAAATGCTTTAATATTGCCTGTATTATCATCTGGGATACAAAATGCCCTGTTCAGTAGAGTTCAGGGAAGGAGTGATCATCAGCTTCCTAGGATTATCTCTGTGTTTAGAAGAGAGCATCAGGCAGGATTTGATGAGGCTCAGAGCCCATAACTTTTGATTTTGGCACTCATTTCTGTTTTGTTTTTCCACTGAGCTGGAAAGGTAAGTCATGAGTAAAACCATTACTCTCATGTTCTAAAGAAAAAAACTTTAATATCTCCATGTTATAATTTAAGGTGAAGAAGTACTATAAATGGATAATTCAATGGGAATTAACCACTTCACTGTCAAAAGCTGAGACTGAACTTTCACTTCAATGTCATTAATAAAGTGCCTTATGTAGACCTTTAAAACCATAACAACAATACAATATGCATAAAGTTCTTTTGCTTGCAAAATTAAAATCAATACATTTCTCAGAGGGAGAAATTTTCTCTCATGAAAAGAGAAAACGATTGAGAGAAAAATATAGTTGAACTACTCTAGTAGCAAATAGCATATGCTATTTCATTTCTCTGTTTTACGTGACATTCATTGCAGTCCTTTATTGGCTTACAGGGAAAACTGCTAATATCTTTTCAGTCCAAAGTAATCCAATCCCTAAATATTCTTACAAAGAAATTCAATAATAACGTCTCCAATAAGAACCTGTTATTGAAAAAGTCCATGCATTCATCAGGTGTTTGTTTCTGCCAGCAAGCTACATGCAAGGAACAGTTGTTATAGTGACAGAATCTGTGAAAATGAGGACCTGTTTGTAAATAAATAAGTCTTCAGAAGGAACCTAAGCACTGGACACAGCAGTGTTGTGATACTATTTTAACATAATTTCACTTAAACTCTTATTTTATTCCACTCACCAATCTTTTCTGTACATTTATGTCAGCTATTAGCAGTATGCAATGGAAGACGGATGAGATTTTGTGTGTAAACCACTCATTTTCCCTCAGGTGCAATGAACCTGTTCAAATCAGGACCTGGAAGTGAACATTTTGGAGGAGTTGTATATGCACCCATTTGGGATTTCTGCTCTATAGCCTTTAGTTAGTAGCTGTGGTCAGACATTTGCACTAAGGGAAGATGATCCCATTTTTACAAAGTTCAAAGAAAAAACTACTGATATTAAACTTTACATAGCCAAAAGATCATTGTCCTTTTTTAATTATTTTTCCAAATATTTTACCTAGTGAAAATTGACCGTTATGTACTTATCTCGATGTGTCCTGAGAGGAAGCCTCAGTGTTTGTGTGACTGACACTTTTAAATGTCCCAAACTCTCTTGTAGGTTGAAATACTTTAACTCTTTTGCAGCTGGATAGCAATAAGAACTGGGAGAAACATTCTTCAAATGAAACATATGACCTTTTGGTTGACTACAACTGTGAATTTGTTTAGATAATACTCCCAGTTCTACCCACAAATTTTGGTATAAGTGGCTTGTTACTTTTTTCCAGAAGTGTATTTATAGAAAAGAAACTTTCTCAGTATCTCATACCAATATATATGTTATTCTTCATACTGAAAAGAGGCATAAACTATGCTATATTTAATATCGGTTTGATTTTTGGTCTAGGTAAGTGAGTAATAGTCCACAGATAGATATATATACAATTCATCACCCAAGATCAAAATGAACAGTTTGTGAATGCCTTCTGTTTTCACCCTATTAGGACAGTAACCACATTTGTTATCATCAGTGTGGGCTTGTGGATCATTCACCTATAGTACAGCTGAACTCCCTGAATAAGTCATTTGCTACAAATAAGGCGCCTAGCTCATCTTGAAACTATGGTATCCTGAGGCCTAGAACAGAAGATGTTCATCAAGGAGGACAAAGATTCCTCCAGCATCAGTCACGGAAGTACAAAATTCTAGTAAGTGTGTCGTTTCAAAGGATGCCTTTTGAAATAAAACGTACAGCTAGTTATTTCAGTGAAATTAAATACTACATCCACATCCAATGGGAATCTCTGGCTCTACTTAATTTCAAACAAACTCCAGCATGCAATGGAAGCGTGCAGAAGCACAACTATTTGCTGCTTGTCTTGTGGGCTTTGGCAGCTAAAACATATTAAACAAACAAAACGTAAGTATCAACCTTCTCATCATAATATTCAGTAAATAGGTCACAGAAAAAAACACTTTGCATAGACGTTTCTACCTAGAATTACACCATTTGAAATCATATGGCAGCCTTTTATTCAGCAAAATTTCAGTGACTTTACTATTACAGTAGCCACACAGGTTGCCTAAAATACCTGTTATAGCTGGAGAAAATAGCAAATATACAGAATATAGAGTGGAATTTCAAAATGTGATTATAAAAGGTGTTGGGGGGAGGATGCGGTTCCTTATACAATGATTGTACTTTGCAATCAATCATAACTGGATTCATTTTGCCATTGCAGAAAATGAGTGTCATCACGCGATTTGAATTTGAGAAACTGCACACTCATAGACTGCTGGGTTTCAAGAATGGGTTGAGTGAAATGAGCAAAGGAAAGGATTAAAACCCTCTCTCCCAACATAAGCAGCCTCATAAAGTGAAAAGTCTAAGCATTCCACAGTGAAAGTGCTTCAGCCTTTACTTCCAATCCACTTCTAACAACTTCTCCTTGTCCCTAGTTGGTCACTGTAAAAGTTCTTTAGTCCCCTACTCCCTCAGGAAAATTTTCTCTCTCTCCTTTGTTTCTCTTTGTTGTGAACTTTTGCTTGTCCCCAAGCTCAGGAGAAAGTGAGCCGCATTAAAAAGCAAACAAACTGGGAAAAAAAAAAAAAAAGGAAAAATTACATTCCACCACTGAGCTGGCAAGAAATCCAAAGTTCTTGGCAGTCAATGGAGTGGCTGGAACATTATATAATTTTGAGAGCAGCATCATGGTTTTAATACAAGCATGATGTTTCACATAGTGCACATAAAGCTCAAGGACTCAGAACGTATTCCAGCTAAAGAATCTGAGGGAATAAAAGAGCAAATTCTAAGCCCACCTACTGCTTACAAAGCACAGATCATTGTGGAAAACTTCCAAAAGCTTAAGATAAAAGAAGGGTAATTCAGAGGGACAGTGTGTACTTGTGTTCTCAAAATTCCTCAGCTAATCAAATGCTTAGTTAATGTCCATCTCTGTACTTGAATGGAATAAGAAAGCTTTCACTTAAGAAAATAACAACCCCCCCCCCAAAAAAAAAAAAACAAAAAACAACCAGGATTTATACACGATTTTCCCTGCTGAACATATTTCAGTTCATGATAGGCCTGGAGGCCTTTCCAGTAATAAATAATTTTTTAAAATATCCTATTTCTTTTTTCTGTTTGTTTGTTTGTCTTTTTTTTTTCCTATTTCTCCATAGTGACATAAATCAGACCCTTAAATCAAACAGGGCTTGAACCATAAAAGTCAATAGCAATCCTTCCATTGGCATTATATTCTGCATCATGTTTTCAGCAATTTACAGTTTTAGATTCCAAATTCTACATGAATACTGCAGAACTGGGAGCACTCAGAATTTCCCTCATTCAGGCTTTACCTGAACATGCTGTGTCAACAAATGCTGCTCTATTAAAGAGAGGTGCAACTTAATGACAGCTATCTGTTACATACTGATAACCTTCGTCTCCCACTGAGAAGGGTCAGAGAATGCCTAAAGCTTCTTAATCATAATGAAAAGCAGGAACAGTTTCTATCATAAAAGTATATAGTATTGGGGGACATTTTCAGAGTAGCTTTTGTAAATAGGAATCAAGGTCACTTTGAGTTTGACACTGAGCTCTCTCTACCTTTCCTATTCCAAGTATATTGGGAGAAAACTAATCAAACAAGAAACTAGCCTTTTTGGCAGCACTCAGAACTCCAGCTTTCAGTTGGAGGTAGGAAATGCAGAACTGACAAAGGGAAACGGAAGTATTTCCAACTGTTTGAAGCTCAACTGCAACTGCTGGGTTCATGTCAGAAGGTTTGTACCCATTATATCTGAATTGCTTTTGTCCATTCCTAGTGACCCTGTTTTAATATGCACTTATTTTCCTGTACTACAGGACACCTAGAAACTTAACATCCCTCAGACAGCTTCGACAGCAAAGTGGTTAATGTTTGAAGAATGAGTCATTCTTTCCTTTGCCATGACATTAGGTTCTTATTGTACAACCCTGTACAGTACTTAGTAATATTTTTTAAAGATTTAAAAAGCAAAGAGTTACAAAACCATTTGCAATTAACTTGAAATAGAAAAGATAGCACTTTTTTTAAATCCCATTATATAGTACACCGTATAAATTACAGAGTATTCAAATGCATAAATGCATCTGGGTAACATTTATCAAATGTAATTTTTTCATTTTTGTTGGGGGGTTACTTTTTCCAGAGGTTTTTTTTCTTTGTCCTAGACACCCCATCTCCCCTCACTATCACGTATGACAGTGCTCCAGGTCTGAGACATTGCTGTTGCAGTATCGCATGTTGTTGGGGATGTGGCAGTCTGTGTAGTTAATGCCCCCGTTTGGGGTATAAATGGGCTGCAGTCTGAAATCTCCTTTAAGGAGTTGATCATTATTTAAGGAGACAATCTGGAAGCTGGTTTCCGTCATCTCCAGGATGGAGTTGTCCTTCTTGGTCCCTGCCTCGCAGTAGTCATCTTTCCGACGGCCTCGGTTATATTTCCACTTCTGGGAGGTGTAACGCCCTTTCTTGTGCATGTGCCAGCAAAAAATGCTGAGCAGGACCACAAGGACAAATATCACTGCACCCCCAATCAACCCTGCCAGCAGAAATGGGGAGCCCAGGTTTTGAGAAGTTGTCTGCTCATGGCTGGAGGGGATGTTGCTGCCATTGCTCAAAAAGGAAGCCTTGGTTGTGGCTTCTGAACAGACAGTGTCTTCTCCAGTTCGGTAATTGTTATAAGTATCCAGTGGAACCAAACAAATCCGATAGGTGGATTTGGGCTCCAGATTTACCAAGCTTAAGTGTTGCTTCTCACCACTAACTATTCGTTCCTGGACAATTCCTCCTACCAGACTATGGCCCATTTTAACCCACGTGAGTTTATATGCCATCACGGTAAAAAGAGACATCCAGTTAACTTGGATGGAAGTGTCATTCACAAAATGGATGGACAGTTGAATCCGTTCAGATATAGGAGGTGTCACCCTTTCTCTGTCCTCCCTGTCAGGCACAGTGGGGAGTGTGGCTATGGTGGGAGTGAGAGGATTGTATTTGCTACTTGGGGGAGGAACTGATGAGGTGGAAACTAATGTAGTTGGCATGGCTGTAGCTGGGACTGGGGTGATGATAAGTGGCAGACCAGGGGTGGTGGTGGGGCATGACAACATATTCATATTGAGCTCCCTGACTGCCATACCTCGGACCTGCTCTGGTCCCTGGCACATAAAACCCCGTACATTGATGGAAGCGGGAATAAATTTGAGCCATTCAGTGACCCACTTAATACTGCAGTCACACAACCAGGGATTATTCCTTACAGTGAGTTGCCTCAGGTTGTGAAGATTATCAAATACGCCCTTTACCAACATCCGAAGTTGATTGTTAGAAATATCAAGACGTTCCAGCTTGTAGAGGTTTGAAAAGGCTGTAAGTGGTATATGGGTTATCTGGTTGTCCTGCAAGTAGAGCCTTAGCAGGTGTGTACCTGGAAGATCGGGAGGAGGGTAGGTCAGTGAATTCCGCACTATTGAGAATTCCTTGAGCTTGGAGAGGTGGCTGAAGGTGCCTTCAGCTATGCCTTTATTAGTAAGGAGATTGCCATCCACAATCAGACGCTCCAGACTTGTAAGATTCTGGAAGGCCAGGTCTGAAATGACAGCAATTCTGTTTTCGTCTACTCGAAGTTCTTGTAAGTCCACCGGAAGGCCTACTGGTACACTGCTTAAGTGATTCTTGGACAAGAACAGAAGCTTGAGGCTGATGGCTTCCCGGAATGCCCCATCCTCAACGCCAACAGTGGAGATGGAATTGTCATCCAGGTGCAGCTCTTCCAGCTTCAAAAGCTGAGCAAGGGCAGCCCGAGAAATGGTCTGAATGTTGTTTTCCTGCAGGTGGAGAACCCTGACATTCTTGGGCAGGTTCATGGGGAATTCATCTAATTGGTTGCCATACAGGTAGACTGTGTGCACAGACTGGACATTGTGCAACTCTGCAGGAAATCCAGCATTATTAATTTGGTTATTATGGAGGTAGAGGACGGTTACACCCTCCGGTATCCCAAGAGGCACTGAGGTCAAGCTTCGCTCATTACAGTAGACAAAGTTTCGGTCACAGCGGCACACTTTTGGGCAGGCCAAACTTTTGGAGACCTGCATGTAGAGCCCCAGGGAAAAGATAAGCCATGATTTCATGAGAACAGCCCAATCTGTGGGCCACATTCTAGTCCACGAACCCATTTTTAGTTTAAAGAAATAAAGTACCAAAGTGTTAAAGAACTAATAACAATAATAAAGCACAGGTAGCAAAATCTCAGGTCATTAAAATTGGCTTCTATTTATGTCCGGTGTTCAGGCCAGAGTTAAAGTCCTGGAGGCTAAGTATAAAATAATCCTTTTATAATTGGCCTACCTCCTACTTTTGATAAGTAAGCCACAGTCTTACTAGCCAGGGTTACAAAGTTTGTTGCCTTCCTCCATGTGTGCTGAAAGAAACAATAGCCGTGTCTTTGCAGGTGAGCAACAGGTTAATTTAAAGCTACCAAAAGTCATCTGTGTATGAGTTGCTTGGAGGGATAATATTTCCTTTCACTGAAGTCTGTTCATGTTACACTCAGCTTTCTGAAGTCAGCAAAGTCCTCATATCAGCTATCTGCTGGATCTGGCCTGCCTGTAAAAGAAAAGAGAAAAGAAAAAGCTGAATAACATGAAATGTTTAATAGGGAAGATCAAGCCCATTGGAAGACTATTCTAAGGCTGTGCTCTTTATGGCTTTCTGGAAAAAAGACATTAATATTAAACATTATCTTAATATTACTGTTTAAATAGTCTTGAAATAGATTTGATGCAAAGTCATTGCAGTGACTGAAGGACTTGCAGTGACTTCAGTGAAGGCTAGATCTATCACTTGTGTTTGCATATTGTACCTTCAATCTTTGTCCTCTCACACTCTATTTCAAGTCCTAAAACTAAAACATTCTACAAACCTAAAACTAAACCATTTAACTGGAAAATTTTGCTCAGATATTTTTCTTCTTTTGCAGGACCACTGACTTCAATGAATGCTCTTCACTGATGCCTGACAGAGTAGACTCTGGGCTGCATTGTTTAATCACACTCTGTTTTTTTCATTTTGTACCAGACTCTGGAATGTTTTGCTTCTATTTCTGTAATGCCATTATGTATATTCTCCAGCTTAATGCACACTGCAGATTATTGCACCTCACTACAGTGAATTAGCTACTTATGAGGAGAGTCTTTTAAATAAGTATGGTAATCCACAAATATAGGATACCCTGCTGTAAGGCATATATTTGCTAAAACTATCATCTTGATATTGTTTCTGATGTGAATTGTGCTGTCAACAGACTTCAGAATTAGCTTTCCACTAAGTGAAACGGGCTTACATCTGCTAAGTTATTGTTTTAGGATATCAGCTCAGACCACAGCAGTTTTGCAGAAGAGCATTTTCTTTGAAACTATAAAGGTTAAATACTTCTTTTAATTCTGCTACACAGTTGTCTATGAACGGCTTCATAAACAAATTTGTTAGCTTTAGTATAGATGAGTTCTTTAATGTATATTTTCAGCTTTTAAGTGTACTTTTAACTTTTACCTTCCCAGCTATTATTTATTATTCAGTTCTGTAACCAAACAATTCAAATCTCTGAAGCATGCAATGAAATATACTGTATCATATGACATTATCTTTTCTTCTAATATGTTGTTTCCAATGATTGAAAAAAATGCTGCATTTTACGTACTTGAACGTAATGAAGGATATAAACCTTCACAAGTACCAAGCATGTATCTGTCTCAGGGTCCTGAATTGCAGTTACATAAGCACAGTATTTTTCCAGATTTTGTTGACCCAGATCAAAACTCATTGGCTGGGATTTCAGGAAAACAGAATTTCAGTGAACAGAAATCATGTTTAAAAAATCTCTTTTCCTTTATTTAAGCAGTTTAAGCACCATCCAGGTAATTCAGAAAGAAATGTAATTCAGGAGTACATGAAAGCTTGTTCTTCTGCTACAGCTGTGCAGTTTACAACATGTCCCAAATGCTGCTTTTGGGAACCTTATGGACTGACAGTGTAAAAAGTCTCTTTAGGAGTTGCAACCATGCAACTTTGCATTTGTAGATTACTCTATCTATTTGGAGCATCATCAGGTATCAGCCTCAAGGCTAAAACAGTTGGAGATAAAAAGTGAGACCCTGAAAAGTCCTGTAGCTTATCATTATGAATTCAAATGGTAAATGTACCTATACTGTAATGCAGCCTATACTGTGTGTTGTCCTTTTCTAGAAACAGTAAGATTAGCTACCCCATTATTCAAGGTTTTCTCTCTCACAGGCATATTTCAGTCGAGTGGTTTCATTTCAATGATGTAAGATGACGTGATACTGTAGAGAAACTCTAACAGGATTACATTCTAACATGAGCCTAAGTGTGACAGTTTATCCGCCTTTAATATGGCCTGGCTCCCATCTAGATCATACTGTTCTGATCCGTCATGACACTGTCATTTTAAAATAAGAAAGGACATGCAGAGCCTCCTCTGAGATGCTTGGGAACACACAGAACAGAGCGTGGTTCTCTCACTTTCTTTCCATCATTGGAGAGAGGCAGCCTATACCTCCTAACAGGGCCAATGCCCTGCACTGAGCTCTTTTTCGATTGTAAGTCCAATTGCTGATTAGGTTTTATTTGACTCCCAGAAAGCCCAGCTGAGGATGTGCAGCCACAGGCAGCTGCAGCTCCTGGTTTGCTGGGAATCTCCTAAGGAGGGAATGTCATATTAAAACTGATTTATGCATTCACCTTATTCTAGGACTCTGCGCAGAGTACCTCTCACCTGGGTAAATGTGGCACCTGAATAAAAGATTTCAGTAATGATTCTAGTAAATTGGCTCAAACACACAGCACTTCTCATTAGATATTACAAGTAAAAGAGCTTTGACTGGACAGTCACTTAAGCGTATCAGCACTTTGGAAGCTGGCACTCTGGAGTTTATCTCCTTTTTATTGTTACACAGATTTTGCCACTAGAAATCTGATAAAACTTTCCTATCATTTTCTCCCCTTACGATGGTGAGAAAGGAAGTCCTTTTATTAATGCCGGTACCCTAATCTCCAGCTATCAGTCCTTAATAAACCGATACTATTAAATTCAGTACAGAAAATATGCATTGGTAACTACTGTTGATTGTATTAAGCAAGAGCACAAGGACAAATCTAATCAGATATTTATGACTTCAGGGTTGACTGTGGTGTGACAGAGGGAAGGAATGAGGAAGCAAAGATACAACTGAATGTGTTTAAATAAATTATTTGGGAAAAGCTTTACCTCAGTAGTTTTTTACAACTGTTTAATAATAACTCATAGTAGTGGTCATAGTTGCAGTATTTTTCAGCAAATCTCAGGGACCCTAATGTAGAAGTGAGTTGTGTTCCTGTGTTAGAAATCTCTACCCCAAAGACATTAAAAAGATTGAAGAGTTGAACAACCTGCTTGATTTAGAAAAGAAACTCTGCGAAGGAAAAACATTCTCGAAAAATTCTGGAAGGCTGGGAAAGCTGAAACAGTTTGTTCTTTAGCAAATTGCCAACGCTGAAGGTAGGTAGAGTAATTGAGCTTTCCCCCCATCCCTGCCACGTTGGCTTCCTAAAGCAAGCTCTCCGTTTTCAGTATTCTTACAAGAACTGATCTGAGTCTCTCTGCGAATGAACTGATCATTTGCAGAAGCAGAATTTTGGAAGTGGAGGAGTTAAGAGCACTCAGTATCCTTAGCTTTCATGACTGTAAATCTTGGGAATTGACTCATAAACTATAGATGGTAGTGACTTTGCTTATTGTGAAGCCGGAAAGTTCTAAAAACCAATCTAGGAAGTGAGGATGAGGGTAAGGGAATTTGTGATGGTTAACTTAAAATTAAAGAAATCAACAAGCAAATACCTCAATAATAACACATCTGCCCATCATCACCTTGGTCACTTTTGTTTCTATTTCCTTACCCTGTACACTTGATTTCTATTAATTCTCACTATATCCTCCTTGGAGCACAAGCCACATCTTCCAAGTGTCTAGGACATTTCCTGTCTTACTGCAGCCAGGATATTAAATCCCATTAGGATTTAAGGAATGATATAATAAAGTTTAGAAAAGCACATTGAAATAGATGAGAACATATGTACAAGTTTTAGGTGGCCATGTCTGAAAATTTGGCTTAGTGGCCTGAGCTCCTGACATCAATGGAAATGTTCCCTTTCATATCTTAAGAGGAATTTCTGATCATTTTTTTTTAATCTGTCTTTTTTCAAATCTGCCTCATTTAAATACCCTTTTGGCATGACTAATGCTAGCTGGAGAAGAACAATTCTGGCTTTGTGTATTGGATAAAAATTTCAAATTTGCTTTTGTTCAACAATGCATCTGAACATCTCCTTTCAGATATTTTGATTAAAGGTATTTAAAGGCTGAAATATCTGGCTGCAAGTTGGGAAGGTGACGGTTTTATTAGTCCCACCTTCACTGGTCAGAATCATCCACACAACTTCAAGCTTTAGTCACCCTGCTGTGCATAGCCGTGAAATAATTTAGCTACAATAAACAAACATGCTTCAATAGTTAATATATTACTGAAAATGCTACTCAATCATAAATTTGTGGTATCTAGGAAAAAACCCCAACAACCCACTAGCAGCCTGCTTATGCAACTCTCCTGCCTCACTGACCAATATTGCCTCAGTGGCTGTGTCTATGGTGTCTAAAGAAGCTCCAAAGCTGCCCTCAGGGCATCCTCCCCACCTTTCATGCTGCAGTCTTCCAAACATGCAGTCCCAGGTGTAGCAGTCAAGGTCCCTGTGGCTGGCTGAGAACCTATTAATGTTCAGGGGAGATAACAGAGAATCAAGGGAGGAGATAGCATATGGAGCACAGCCTGCATACGAATACTTACAGCCCTATGTTATAAGCACAGGAGTTTTGTTGTGCTCCTGAAGCCAGGTTGTCTGTCTTCATTAGTCTTCCCAAGTTTTATACTAAGGCTATTAATTTTTTAGACGGAATAAAATTAACAACACTTGGCTATTCTTTCCTTCAAGGAATCCTGAAAATAATCAAAAATAGATCCTAAGAATCCAAGTTTTTTCTCTGATATTCTAACCACTCAGCACCACTTTTCCTAGCAGTTCATCCATTTATCTGAACTGAGTGCCATGCAACGTAAATAGAAAGGCAAGCAAAACCAAAACCAAATGGTCATATCTACTCTTTTCACTACTACCAGTCAGTGACTCTCATTTAGCACAAAACCATTCAGCATAAATTTTCTTGGCTTTACTGCAGACCAAGTTCATAATCAAGTCATAATCTTACTCTGCATAATTATAATATACAGCAAGTACAAGGCTATTATGTCTGGAATTGAATGACAACCAGAAAACAAATCTAATTCCATTCCTCTGAAACCTAGTACAGAGTTTCTAGTGCTTAAGAAAAATGCCCCTCTATTTCTATTATCTGGTAACAATAATAATTATGGAATAATACCTGACAAATCCCTTTTTTCCACATAAGTAAAGTTCACATCTACACGTGAATGAACATCCTGCTTTTTTTTTAACTGATTAGGAGACTAAGGTGATGGTTTACTGTATATGTTTCT